GGAAAGAAAAAAAAATTTAAATCATTAATAATGTGACTCTTTTTTAATCTGCCGAAACAATAGAAAAATCCATAGATTTGGGGTTTTAAGCAGCCCTTTTCTGGTTTTTGATCATATACATTGATTATCTGTGGTTCTGCAACATTGCAAAGACACATTCAGATCTTGCCTTTGGAAATTCAAATTCCAAGTAGCTTAATTAAAATATATTTCTAGGGATCAGAGAGGGTTTTTTACCCAGACTTCCAGCAATGATCCAATTTGCTACGGTAACACATTGACTGTGAAATTTTACGTTGGTTTTAAAGTAAACACATTATGGAGATTAGACTAGAGAAGTTAACAGCAATGAGTGAACTGGAATAGGACATCCTGTTTTCCTGTTTCTTTTGTTCTTTTCCATATTTATCTCTGAAATATTTTTTCTTAAGGATTAAAGAAGCTGACCGAAGCTTCCCAAGAGCATGAAGCAAACTCCTGGTCCTGAGAAAAACCCCTTTTATTAATTGACTGTGAATTCTGCTCTTCACATCCAGCAAAGTCTTTCAAGGGAGGATTTACAGTCACAGACCTTATCTGGCTTGGAGAGCTGCCAGGCCAATACTTGCAAAACTTGACAAGGAGTCTCAGAGATTCACAGGCCAATTAAGCAAACTAATTGTCTCCTGCAAATTCCACTACCCTTTCGCTCCTCTTTTATTTCCTCTGGGAATGGGCCATTCATCGTCCACCTGTGGCCTTACTCCCAAGTTGCCCCCTCTTCTTTAGTTGTTCCCTTGTCCTGGCAACTCTATGCATGCGCACAAGGGGAACAGGCTCCAGCTGTTTGTCTGCCTCACAGATGTCTGACTCTGAAGGCAGCTGATAACTGCCTTCAGATGGCTCTGGCCCCCTCTCTGCCTCCGACACACAGCCCTCATCAGAGCCTTCCCCAGACTCCAGGACTGGCCCATCTTCCTCCCCAACCTCCTCACTGTCTGAATCTGCTGCCAGCTCTGCTGGCAGGCCACAACACAGACAAATAGCCCAACCCAAAACAATCTCTTAAGCAAGATAAATGAAGCAAAACAGGGCCACAAAATACAATGATACATTATTGCAGGGGTGTNTTTAGTCATGCTGGCCACATGACCAGGGAGACGTCTTTGGGCAGTGCTGGCTCTTTGGCGTTGAAACGGAGATGAGCCCCCTAGAGTCAGGAACAACTAGCACATATGTGCAAGAGGAACCTTTATCTTTACCTATAAGTAGAATTTGCTCCAGGAGCAGACAATGTATACAGGCTTGGAGGGACATTTGGAATTTTGAGAGTAAATTGGGGGCATTTTTACAAATGGCTGTCTTGGTGAGAGATTGTGTCAGGACAAAATAGCAGCGGGATGATGTCGCTGATCCCAATCAGCCTGAACTAGGACTGGGCAAATCACCGATTCAACATTTTGTTTCAGTACAATCGCCTCTTTAAATCAAATTGCAAAATCTATTTACTATACTCAGTAATGCAGGGCACCTTTGAATTGATTTGAACATTCACTAGACTACACATATGTGTGCACAGTTTGATAGAACTGAACTGAGGCTTCAAACTGGATTGGTTTGATCTGACCATTTAAATCAATAATTCAAATCAAGTCGCCTCTTTGAACTGTGCAAACTTAATTATTACTTGGTTAAACCATTGATCTTCAAGTGACATAGATACAAGGAGAAAGGAAAGGAAAGGAGAATTCAGAGAAAGAATCTGCCAACAACAAACAAAGGGAAAATATTCTCAAAACTATTAAGGATTTTCAATGTAATTGCAATACCAAATTCTACCTCTAATTTTAACATAGTAGTTAATTTTTCCAAAACATGACAGAACAATATATCAGCTGCAAAGACAAGTGACCACACATTTTTTAAATGCGCAAAATAAAGAACCGCTTCATATAATTAAATGCTTTTTCCTTCTAAATTTGCTTTTTAGAACATTGGATACTCTTTTCATTCCATCCGATCCCAAAATTAAAGACAGCAGATATTGTTTGAAAGAACATCTTGATCTTTCTGACATTTAAGAACTTTTAAAACCATATTCCACATAATTACATTTCAAACATATCCCCCCTTTTAAGGGATCCATCTTGGCAATTTTAATTGGTGAAGACATTTTTGTATCTTAGTTACTTAAAAGGAAAAAAAAAACATAACCCTAACTTCCCCCTAAATGTTTGAACTACTATACTATCTCTCTTAAAAATTATGTTGTTGATTAATTACTAATTATTAATTTAAGGCAATGTCATTTCAGGAACTCTTAGTTGCTCAGGGACTTTTTTTCTCTTTGTTGTGGGTAAATGTGATGCTTAATGGTTTTGAATTCCAAGACATTTTATAATATGTGCAACAACAGTGTAAATGTACTCTATTGGTTGATCGATTGACTGACTGTATCTTTAAAACCATGTTTTATCACCACCTGAATCCTAAAGGGATATATCTCTACATAAACTCTGGAAATGCAAACTACAGTAGCAAAATAACACACACAAAGAGAGAAGGCAATAGAATAACAACACTGGAAGTAACAAACATGAATGATGAAGTCATTCATGCTGCCTTGTTATTAATCCAAGGTTTTCATGGGGGTCCTTTCCTTTATTCTGTACAACATTCTGTTGAGAAAATAAAGGAAACATTTGGCTTCTTGCCAGGGGCAGGTTGCTGCCAGCGTTACTGCTGGTTCACTTTGTACGCACTTTGTGGTTCAGTCCCAATTTCCACCACTGGTTTCCGAAACCGGTGAAAATTGGTAGCAACCCATCTCTGCTTCTTACCTAAAGTTACAGTGTGCAGATCAGTGGTGGGATTCAACCAGTGCAACAACCAGTTCGCTGAACACATGCTGACCACTGACCAATATATCCAAAGACAATCAAATTTGTATCATGTAGAATAGCAATAGCACTTAAACTTATATACCACTTCACAGTGCTTTACAGCCCTCTCTAAGCGGTTAGCAGAGTCAGCATATCGCCCCCAACAATCTGGGTCCTCATTTTACCCACCTCGGAAGGATGGAAGGCTGAGTCAACCTTGAGCCTGGTGAGATTTGAACTGTCAAATTGCATGCAGCTGGCAGTCAGCAGAAGTAGCCTGCAGTACTCTAACCCAGTGTTTTTCAACCACTGTGCCGCGGCACACTAGTGTGCCGNCAGGCAGGCAGGCAGGCAGGCAGGCAGGCAGGCAGGCAGGCAGGCAGGCAGGCAGATAAAGGCAGGCAGGCAGGCAGGCAGGCAGATAAAGGCAGGCAGGCAGGCAGACAATGGTGATGGATGGATGGATGGCAATAAATAGATAAATACAGATAGATAGCTAAGTAGAGAGATGGGTGGGTGATCCTTGCTATAAGCTAAATACGTTTTAATCTATGGGCTGAAACGGTAGACTGACAGAGATGTGAACCAGAAAAAAATTGAGACTTAAAATTTTCCAATCTGGCAGTTTCAAGGCTATCTCAATTTTGCTTTAGGGGTGATAGTTCTACAACAAAAAGCCAAAAAGCTAAAAGGACATAGTAAGTGCATGTTCTGCCAATTGTGCAATATGTTGTCACTATTCCAATAGAAATAACTTTTCTCCCCATACAGAATGTTTAATTTCTTCAAATGTAATGTGGAAACCTAATAAAATACGCTGAATTTCATTTACCTATCAAGTATTTTAATTAAAAATTTAAGTCTCATTAAATCTTATTTAAATAATAAAAACGGGTGCAGATCAGGGGAACTGAGGTGATGATGTGAATTTGAATCACCATTTTCTGATTGGCAATTTCCCACAAAAATCCATATCTCTAATTGTCAAAGAAGATTTAATGGATATAAAAGAGTTTTACCCTATAGTCCCTGGTACGGAACTGAGGAGTCGCAACAAAAGTTTGGAAATTCAGTCTATTCTATCAACCCATTCTGCTTAATGGGTAAAAAAAGAATGGATTACAAAATAGGTGGATGGATGGAGATAAATAGATAGATACCTAGAAAATCATGTAGAAATAATTCTCCAGAATAAAGTGAAACAAAAAACCACACTCTCCTGTAGATAGCAATTACTATATTTTTCTGAGTATAAGATGCACTTTCCCCCGCCCTAAAAGAAGGTGAAAAATTGAGTGTGTCTTATACACCAAATGTAGCTCCGCCCACCCGCCGGCCCCACCCTTTAGTGTCTGCCTCCCAGCAATTTGCCTCCTTGCAGGGAACAGCAAAAAGCCAGTTTCAGTTTCAGTACAGCCTGATTAGCACCAGCAACTGATTGTCAGTTGGATCCTTCTCCTGACGATCAGCTGTTTCAGGCTGCACAGATTGCCATTGCCTATTGCTGCCTCTGTGCACCCCATTTTCCGCCATTCCGATCCCCGCCGTCTGAAACAGGAAGAAAATGGGGTGTGTGGCGCTGCAAATGGGTCGTCCGTAGGCTGAAAACAGGATGCTGAGGCTGAAAATGAGGCACACGGAGGCGGCAATAGGCTATGGCAATCCCTGCAGCCTGAAACAGCTGATTGTCAGGAGGACGATCAAACCAACAATCAGCTGCTTGTGCTAATCAGCCTGTGCTGAAACTGAAACAGGCTGTTTGCTGCATGGAGGCAAATAGCTGAGAGGCAGATTTCCTTTGCCCTTGTTTTTCTCCCTAAAAGCTAGGTGTGTCTTATACTTCGGAGCATCTTATACACCAAAAATACAGTAATTAGTAAACTCATTTAGTATAGTTATCTGTTATCTAAAGGAGACCATGTTTCTTGGTTTCTCCTCAGCAGTAGCTGAGGGGAAACTCATTGCACACATTGTCTTATTGTTTCAGGAAAAAAGGCCATGTCTTTATCGATTACTTTCTTTATTATTTATTAAACAAATTGATATAGCTGCCTAACTCACACAAAGTGACTCCAGAGTTTCACTAGAATTATATGAGTGAGAAATTTTATCGGCTTTTGAGACACAAGCAATAGTTACCTCATCCAGAGTATGAGCGTCCATGAGGGTGACGATGTATTTGGAAGGTCCCACAAAGGCCAAGAGACGCCCATCACAACTGACGGACAACGCATCAGGACCATGGTCATTGTCTTGGGACACCACATTTGCTGAATGAGAATCAGAGAGTCAATTTCTGTTGCAAACTATGAGGGTTGTTAATCCAACTCCCACTATTTCGCATAGTGGTCATTAAACAAACGTCACGGTCATTAATCAAATCAATGTATTCCTATTGGTGGTTTTTGCTGGAAACTGACCAAAACCATAAATCACAGTCACAAGACCACATAGAACACTGGAACCAAAATGTAGTCATGTGGTTGTGGCCCGCCAGCAGCCAGCACAATTAGCAGGAGATTCGGACAATGGAGAGGTTGGAGAGGAACATGGGCCTGAGTTTGGGGAAGGCTCTGATGAGTGCTATGTGTCGGAGGCAGAGATGGGGCCAGAGCCATCCAACAGTTATCAGCTGCCTTAGGAACTGGAGATCAGTGGGGCAGAAGAACAGCTGGAGCCTGTTCCCGAGGTGCACATGCGCAGAGCTGCCAGGAGAAGGGAACAGCTAAGGAACAAGGTCCAACTTGGGAGTACAAGCACAGGTGGACGGTGAATGGCTTCTCCCATAGGGAATGAAAGAGGAGCGAAAGGGGAGGGGAGTTTGCAGGAGACAATTAGTCCAGTTCATTAGAGTGAAGATCTGTTCCTGACTCCTTGCCAAGTAATTGCTGCTACAGCGTGGCATTTGGGAGATATCAGCCTGGCAGCTCTCCAAGCCTGATAAAGTTCTGTAGTTGTGAAATCTGATGAAAGACTGTTGGCTGGGACTTTGCTGGAGAGGAATTCCCTTTAAACTAAATAAAAGGGATTTTATCGGGACGAGGAGTTGGCGTCGTGCTTTTGGGTAGCCTAGGTCAGAACACACGTGACTGTGGGGATGAGTGCAAATGTTGGGACTCCAGAACTTGGCATTTCGGGAGCGTCCATTGCGACTTTGAATGGTTGCTGTGTGACCGGAAATAAGTTGAGGACTCCCTATGATAAAGTCCCTTTTATTTAGTTTA